GAGGTGGAGGAGGAGTTTAAGTGTGACCCCTTGGGGATCTCCCTGACTGTACCTTTGGACCCCTCCGGTGGAGTACCACAGCATGGCAGGTCCTGGCCAGGTCCCCACTTTTCGGTCTCCCATAAAGGGAGAGGATACCTGCACCAGGGTCGTGTCCTGCCCACCCTGCCCCCTGGCTCGCCCTCGGTCTCTTGGGCTGTGGCTCGAGGGGGGCCTGCGAGCCCTCTGGCTCCTACTCGGTGGTTGCCTGTGGTTCCTCGGGCTCCTGCTTGGCGGTTGCCTGTGGGTCCCCCTCCGATGCCTCGTCGGCCATCTTTGGCTCTGCCTCCGACTCGTCGTTTGCCTGCGGGTCCCCCCGCCTCGACTCGTCGGTCGCCTGCGGGTCCCCCCACTCCGACCTTTGCTGCCTGTGGCTGCGCCATTGCCTGCTGTGGCTTCCCTTCCCTCCTTGCCTTCACCAAGGTCTCCTTCACCTTCCTCCTTGCTTTTTCTGGTGCCCCGTTTGCCTTGCTCCTCGCCTCCCCCGCCTGGCCCTCCGTCTGCCTCCTTGCCCCCTACAAGGTCCCCTCCTGTTCCTGCCTCACATCCGCCGAGGGTCCCTCCGGCTCCAGCCTCGAAGTCGCCTGCTGCCCCTACGGCATCCATCTCTCACCCACTGGGGTTCCCTCAGGCTTCCTGTTTCCCCCCCCTCCTATGCCTTCCTGCCTCGTAGTCACTTGTCAGTTGTTGTCTTGGTTGCTTCCATTGTGCCTGGTCTGTGTGTCCATCCTGTTCCCGCTGCCCCGTTGATATTTTGCTCGTTTTCCAGGTCCTGGGTCCCCGGTCTCATCCCTTCGCTCCCCTTAGGCGCGCCGAATTGCGCGCCTTTGGGGGGGATTCTGTCACGCCCGATCATCTGATCCTCTTGTGTGCCAAGCCCCCTTGTTAACCTCGTGTTGAATCCCTACGTTTATATACGTTGTTTATTTCAGTCCCCGTTCGAGTATGTTTCCCCATTCCTGTCATTAACGTTGCGTGTCTCCAGTGTCTAGTTGGGATTGATTCCTAATAAACCCCGTATTCCCTGATTCTCCATGTCCCTGCTCCTGCTTCCTGATTCCCCGGTCCACGTTCATGCCTTGATCATGACACCACTGATATGCAGCAGCATAACTACAATAAGCTATATTTTATGTACTGTACTGTATTATAGCATTTTTTAATTATACAGAGTTCAGTAATTTAATTTGTGCATCACTATAATTTCAAATGCTTTTAAAACAACTGTACTTTATTTTGAGAGAGTGAGTGAAATTCAGTAAATAGCGATGCTGTATGTCTTATTACCTTATATTCATGAGATAAATATACAAATGTCAATTAGATGGTAATCTGCCTGAGATAATAATCAATTTCACCCAGATAGACATGATCACTATGAACATTTTTTTGTTTGTTTTTGTTGGCAAGAAATGCAAACTACTTATTTTCTACTTTTTTTGGGAACTTGCTTTTTACATTAAAACTGAAATGTAACCTTTTCCATGAGACGTTTTCATTTCAAGCAATTTGTGCTGTGATTTCAGTTGTTCGAAATATTCAATAAATAACCATAAATGGTTCATCTGTGCGTGTTTCCTTCAATTATTTTAAAATCATAAAGATATACAGTCTGCCTATAGAGAAAATATCTCAGCTTTAATAGATAAGCATATTTACAGGACAAACCATGTCAATGAAATGAGGGCAAAAAACCCCACAAAATAATTGCTCATTAATTGAAATCAAGGTAAAACATTAAATTAAACATGATGTTGATTTGAGGAGATTTGAGAGAACTTTCTTTCACCAAAATCAAACATCCATTTGATTATGTCCTGTAGGTAATCCTTGGACTTGGTTGACATCTGGCATTTGTCCCTCTGGTCCCTGGTCCATTGTCGCTGGTGCCTGGTTCCGTCCCATGTTTAGTCTGTTTTGTCTGGTGGCCCTGTTCGATGTTGGTCTTTCCTGTTGTCCTTTTGGTTCCTGATCCAGCCCCTGCCTGTTCAGTATCCATTGCTGTGTCATGTGTCCATTCCTGTCTTGTCCAGTGGTTCAGCCCCTCTGGTTTTTTGTGGTGTCTGTCCCGGCTACCCTGTCAGTCCTGCCATGCTCTGTCCTGTCCGGTGTCCTATCTGTCCCCAGCTTTGTGTATCCACCCTTGTGTTTGGCCCCTTTGGTCCTGCCCCATTTGTCCTCCGTGTCTGGAGGACACCCTTTAGGATGGGGTACTGTTACATCCTGCCAGCCATACCCAAAGATTCTGAATGTGACTGAAGAGTAACAAGTAAGTCGTTAAAACATAAACTTCTATTTGTTTAATTACTACAAAAAGAAAAAGAATTCCTATATACCATGGTCTGTTACTTGTGGTCAGCCAAAATGACAGTAATTAAAGTAGATGATTCAAAATCAATTGATTCATGTATGCATAGATTTGGTCAGGCTTGCAGTTTTAATAAGAAAAATGTAGCAATAACTTGCATGTATCTTAAGTAGTTTCATCTTTAGCTTGTGTTAGAGCAAACAGATGCAGTAAAAAGTATTACCAATGAAAAAGGATTTGTCGGGCTTTAACTGTTTGTTTTAATGAAGACGGTTAACAATGGTGATGTTAGAAGACGAAAACTAAAAATATAGTGAACATGAAATATGATAGGAAATGTTCTTAACAGCGTGCTTTGGCACCTATGCATAACAAAGAATTCCCTGCTTTTCAGCAGTTAAGGGATGTTAGTTGTTTTTTTTTCCACATTTGTCTTTTCAGTCATTGTGCCCATCTTCGCTATTTGCCCCTGCTCTGTTCTTGTGTCTTTTTTGAGTCATGTTGATGTTGATGATGTTGACTTATTCTCCACAGACAGCAGCCCTTCACTGGAACCAGGTGTAGAATGCTCTAGAAAACATGGCCTACTTTTCCTATTCCAGACCAACATTCCTTTGGTGGGACCCCACATTATGTCCACAATGGAGCCACCCAACCCAGACAACAAATACTGTAAGTGCCTCCCTTATGCCCTTTCAGCAGATGTAGCTGTCAAGGGTACTCTGATGTCTTGGAAACGACAGTAACACAAATCCTTAATGTGCACACTGTATTTGAATCCTTCTGATGGAGAATGGTCTAGGATGCCTTGGGCCTACATCTCCAAATGGAGAATGGTGGCTAATTACTGGACACTAATAAGGTAGTACGGATTGGAAACAAAAGCCTTTCCCATGTCTGGAGTGTCTCTGGGAGGTCTTGTCCATGCATTTCAGTCTTGTCTTGTTAGCTGAAAACTTGTCTTTGATCATGTCAGCTGACTTTTAAGCTCAGCTTAATATTGAAAGTCTTGTTAATTACATTGCTACTTTCAGCTTGTTTTAATTATCACATTGTTAGGATTCCAGTTAAATAATAGAAGAAAGTGAAAAAACTATAAAACAAAATTTAATGAAGTTATTAAAAAATAAAAAGTGTATGTTAAACCAATTCTATAATTGTATTAAAATTACCTGACAGAAATGACCTGATAATTCACTTAGGTTAAGTTGGTGCAGCCATCCTGAAGCCTGGCCTCAATGTTTTTCCTCACTGCACTTGCACAGATTTGTTAAGGCACATAGCATACCCCTATGGTATTTTAATCCATCCAACAGCAAAGGGGCTTTGTGACTGAGGGCTCATTCAGTGTACACAGTCCTGTGAACTCGATTCAGATGTAAACTATGAAGGGGGGGATGGCTGTTTTGCAGATGGAAAATATTTTTTGAAATAATTCAGTTGAATAGTATATAATATAATGAATCTTACATTATAAGTATTTTAGAGTAAAAAGGTGGAGATTCAGACTCTCTGAGGTCTGGGGATTTGACAATGGAAATAGACTTTTCATTGAAAATCGGGTGTGGCCAGTAGTCATCTTGTCATAAACAAAATGACAAATGGACACGCTGTAGACTTTCACACCTATGCTGCATTTGCAATCAGGTAGCATTGTTAAACTGATTTTATACATTTCCAATCAGGTAAATGAGTTAGGTTTATGTGTTCTATATGTATGAAACTTATTTAAATGGGGCAGTGAGCATTGCTCACTTCTTAGTTTTTGCCAGTCGTTAAATGTAAGTCTCAGAGCTTGTTTTGGTTCAGAGTATAAGTTCTTAAATGGTGGGGCTGGGTTTCATTTGCTTGTTTTATTTCAGGGTTTTGGACAGGGTTGCTGGCATTGTCAGCAGCCTTGCGGTTCCGTGTGCCGTTGTTTTGTTTTTGTGTTTGTGGTCCTGATTAACCAGAGTACTGCAGCTGGTGTGCCAGGCAACTGACACCTTCTTTTTAGGTCTGTTGTGGTTATCCTGTTTTTGTGTTTCAGCCCCATTTCCATGTTCCTGTGTTCTGGTTGTTGTTCCTTTGCACTTGTTTGGCTTTTGTGCACCTTGTCCCGGTTGCTGCCTGTCCATTTAGCAGCCCCAGTCTCATTGGCTGCCTGTTTCCTGCGGTATGTTGTCTCATGGTTTCAGGGACCAGTGGGTGGAAAACCAGGCATTGTGGATGAATAGCTCAGCTCAGAGTGCTCTGTTTGGGTGTGGAAGCCAATAAATTTATTTTAAGTGAATGATTTGAGTCTGTGTTGTGAAATAGAAAGCTGTCATTGACAGCATGGTATAGTGGACCATGTGCCTCAGTGGCTTATTCAACATACACCATCATATTGTATTTCAAGACCTTTGCTTAGGTTGAACTTTTTTTTTTTAAAGGGTCGCGGGTCTGACGTTCACCTCCCAGATTCCTTGTGCTTTTTGATAGACAACATTCAACTACATTTAATGCTGCTGTCAAGATATTTAAATGGTTTTGTATGCATGAGGCTAAATTTATTTGTATTCGGCTGCAAAGTAATTAGAGCAAACTGTAATAGGCTCTGTTTGTTTGGGAAATGATTTCACTGGTGATCTTACCACTCTGAGTACCTAATTATTCGAATGCCTGGAATTCTCTCAGTAGGCGTAGCTTTTGCTTTCCTACCAGCCAATCAGTGGCCTAGCTTACGCCCCTTTCGCATTCTGCAGTTGAGTCTGTCAAAGCTTTTTTGTTCCAAAGTTTTTATTGCAGTTCAACCCCTTGACCACCATCCAAACCTACCAGAGTGTGACAAGAACACTATGCAGTCTCCAGTGAGCTCACTCCTGAGCCCTGACGACTGTTCTAGTCTCTGAGAAGTATTTTTCTGAATCTCAAAGCAGCATCCAGGTACAGACTGTTTAAAAGCAACACAGAAGCCTCTGACTAAGCCTAGTGTAACTGTCAGTGAGGGATCACCCTCCTCCCTTCAACCTTTTGAATCACTGGGAAGGAAAGACAATCTCCAAATGACAGAGTGGGCTGTGGACACGAGCAAAACAAAGAACTTGCAGTTGACTAAACAGGCAACAGAAGGAGAAATAGCATACACGATCTTCCAGCTGTGGTTACAGTTTGCTGTTTGATTTTAAGAGGAAGTATAAGACAGCAAGTCCGACTTTGGAGGTGAAGAAACATTTTCTGTTGTACCATCAAAGGGTGAACTTTATCTCTGTTTGGAGGGATTTCTTAGGAGATCTGGGTGGACTTTCCTAGCAAAAAAAGGAATACAAGCTCAAAAATCCTCCACTCACATCTGTTTAAAAATGGCTAATTCTGGATTCCAGCTCCTGGGGTACTTCTTAGCACTTGGGGGATGGATTGGCATCATCTCAACCACAGCCCTGCCACAATGGAAGCAATCATCTTACGCCGGGGATGCCATTATTACAGCAGTTGGGCTATATGAAGGCCTTTGGATGTCCTGTGCTTCCCAGAGCACTGGCCAGGTGCAGTGCAAGGTCTTCGATTCAATGTTGTCATTAGATGGTGAGTTTAAGTGGGGCCCTAGTCTTCCTGGGTCTTTCAGCTTTCATACATATTTGTTCTCTTGTCAAACATGCCTATATCGAATGTAACTTGGGTTGTATAGCTGGATATGCACTGAAAAAAAATGTTTCTCATCATTCTCAATGTAATGTCAACAGGCATTCCTCTTTAGGTTTAAACCTTTAACCTTTTTATTATAAGTGCAGTTCCTTAAACATATTGAAACCTACATAGTGTTCTGTCACATCTAAGTTAAATCAAGAAGTGTATTGCGGAATCTGGCTATACTTTAATCTTCGTGGGTTTGTTACTATGTCAATATACAGCACTATCCATTCAAACAAACAACCTTTACATTTATTTTTCTCCTTAATTTACAAATGTTATGGCATATAAGTATACAATATATATTCAAATTTATTGCACTAAATCAATAAAATATTTATTATGTATAATACAGAGTAAAGTTTATAATTAAATTAATGATTCATTTAATGAATTTGCTATTTTGGTTTTCGGCTGTTGGGCATGAGTTACCAGCAGTTAATTTCATAAATTTTATTTAATTACAAAGAAACTAATGCTGTGAAACATTAAAGTACAGAGACTGTCAGCATAAGGACATTCTTGGGTATTTTTCAAGATCACAAAGTTTATTAAGTTTAGTGACACTGTGTCTGTGTTTAAGATTTGCATTTTTAATACTTAAGAATTAATTTGTTAAAATATATGACGCAATCTGTTATGATCTTTTCAATTTATGATTTAAAACTTATTTTAAAAATATTATTTCAGGGCATGTTTCAAGGATTCAATCCTATTAGTTATAAGTGTAATAAATGCAGCTTATTGTTCCTCTAAGAAGCAGTTGTTGTGAGAAGAAAAGCCCAGTGCTGGGCCAGTCGCCAAAGTCATTTTCACAATGTGAAATCTGTTTCCCCGCATCTTATGAAAACTTTGTTTGTGTGTTCAATTTTACATAACCTATGGTAAGTTAGTAGCTAAATGTATTTATTGTACGAACAGGGACATATAACTTGATGATAATCTTTCCTAATTACATTTTTACAATATGGTTATCTATAGATATTTTAGAGTGATGGAAATTTAAATGCCCTTTATTTTCACCATCAAAGTTTATCCTATGTTTTTTATATCAGAATTTTTATACTTATCTCAACCTACTAAACATGTATAGAAACACTGAAAAATAGAATGTAACTTCTAGAAGTCATGCAAGATTTTACATTCTTTCCTTGACATTGTTTCTACATTTTCTGTGATGTCTTTAATGGAAATTGAATTGATTTGCCCCTCATTTATTGTGTATGGTTATATATAAAATGAGTTTAATGATGCTATATAATATCATTTTCTCTGTAGTATTGTAATCAGTAATGAGAAATTACATGAAGGCCATGCATAAAGCATTATAAATGGAAATTATATAAAAATGACAAATTAAATTTAATCAAACCATGATTGATAACAAGTGAGTGAATGGTGTGTGAGTGTGTCATCCAAGGTTGTTCCCTGCCTTGCACTTGTAGCCTCTGGGATAGGCTCCGGACCCCCCGCAACCCTGAATACGGCAAGCAGTTACAGAAGATGGATGGATGATAAATGTTATTAATGGCTTGATGACTATGAGACAGAAAATGAAACAAACCCAGTTTAATAAATCTAAAGCTTTACCTTTCTACTGATTATAAAAATCTGAAGCACAAACTTTAGTGTAAACAGAAGGATAGGAAATCTGTTTTTACAACTGGTGATTTGGTGATGGATCCCTACCTGTTTATCTACCATATTGGAATTTTACCATCAGTGCTCCTTATACTGATGCATTACAGACAGAACCACAAAATCTGTTATTTTCAATCAGAGCTATGTCTTTAATTGTGTAATTATATATGACATGTATAATTTGCAGTATACATGCAGTCTTATCAGAGCATAACTTTTGATTTGGCAGTAAGTCCAGCTTCAGAAGAACAGTAATTTATTGGATTGGCAGTAAAATTTCCTTATTAGATGGATATAATAATCCAATCATTAAATCAAAATATAGGAACCTATATAACCCTTATGTGACTACTGATCTATTTCTATGGCCATATTCTCAGTAGTTTGTGTTTATTGTGAAATCTGCTACAAGACCTTTCATCATCCAATGTTAGTCTTCTACATTTTTCACACATTACATTAAAAGGCAAGAAAGAGCCCCGTAGAAGCTTACAGTAGAAGCTGTGAATAAAGAATCAGAATAAAGTATGAATGAGCCACAGTCATAGGGAAATGCTAAACAAGTGAGAGGGACATTCACAATGAACAATGTCCAGTTAAGAGAGTGCACACAATGAACACCTTATTGCCTTATTACTTACATGTCGTTCTTTTGATCCAGGCACTACCAGTCTTGTATCAGGGAGTGGATTGTGGGTAGTTGTGCAATTTTCTTGCAAACTTTACACACACACACAGACACACACACACACTCACACACAGAGGTTTGTAATTATATTATTGTGGGGACTCATTCAAACTCTAATCCCAACCTGACGACCTTAACCCCTACCCAGTCCTAAGCTTAACCATAAGCAACCAAACAAAATACGAGACTTTCTGCATTTTTTATTTTTTTGTTTTACTTTGACTGCATTGACAGATCTTTATGGGGTCCTGAAAAGTAGTCCCCACATCAAAATAACAGGTTTTTATCACATTGTGGGGGACATAATCCACACACCCACACATGTCGGGTAAACATATCCTTATGGGGACCACTCATTCATTTCTATGGGAAAAATGCTAACGCTAACTATGACAACCTTAACCCCTACTCAGCATTAACCATGACCATAAGTAACAAAACAAAATACAAGTTTTTGCATTTTTTGTTTTTTCATTGCAGTCACGGATTTTTATAAAATACAGTTTTCCCTTATGGGGACCAGGAAATTGGTTCCCATCAGGGAAAAAAAATGGATATTTATCACGTTGTGGGGACATTGTGTCCCCATAAGGTAAGGTATACCCGCTCACACACACACACACTTATTAATACTCTGTACACGATTCCTAAAATTACATCCATAAAATGGAATGTTTTCTGCACATTCATTTGGATTTCCAGTCTTACTGATTTCCTCCAACTGCACTCATCTTCTTGCTTTGCAGTGCATATCCAGACATGCCGGGCTTTGATGGTAGTTTCTGTTCTGATGGGGTTCATTGCCATCATTGTCAGTGTGGTGGGAATGAAGTGCACCAGAGTTGGAGACAACAACCCGCTGACCAAGAGCCGCATCGCCGTCTCTGGTGGAGTTCTTTTCCTGCTTGCCGGTGAGCTCTCCACACGCATCGCACACTCATTATTACGTTCTGTTATTGGCTAGCAAATCTTGTACAGTACATTATGCCTTTGGTTGAATGATTTTCTATCGGTGAACAGCACACCAAACTAATTCAGATCATTTTAACTGAAATGGGTTCTATTGGGATGTTTTTTATGATTCAATGGATCATTTGTGTCTTATTTTTTTAATGAAAAATATAATCCTTAAATTGTGTTATTTTAGACCTGTAGCTTTGATTTAGCCCTACTTCCTAAAGTCAGTCAAATGAAGACGCTGCACCAACCCCTCCAAATCCCTGAATATGGAGGCCTGATCCCTACATTACTTCTTAAAAAGAAAGTGCTTGTTTTCTTTCCAGGGCTGTGTACACTGGTGTCTGTGTCCTGGTATGCTACCCAAGTGTCCCATCAGTTTTTTAATCCCAACACACCTGTAAACGCCAGGTAATTTAAATGCATCATTACATTCATCTAATACTAATAGTATTATTTGTTTTTAAATTTTTAGTGTAGTAATTCAGCCTGTTCCACAAATAATAAACTTTTTGAGATATATGTGATAATAAGAACAACAACACTAAAAAACCTTCTAAGACATGAGTTGTATACTTTTAAACCATTTTTTAAATTTTTGTTTTTTAAACAAACAAACAAAAATATAAATAAATCTTCTTGTGTTGTGTTCCAGGTATGAATTTGGTTCTGCGCTTTTTGTTGGCTGGGCAGCAGCCAGCCTGACCATGTTAGGGGGGTCCTTCCTGTGCTGCTCTTGTCCTAATGAGGAAAGAAGAGGGCAGCAGTATTACCGACAATCACAGCCCTCTACAGCCAGGGAGTATGTGTAACACCTCTCTAGTAGTTTCAGCCAAGGGGCTCCTCACTTGCAGCATGATTATGACTTATTTTTAACTGCTCCCCCCTCCCCCCCTGCATTCTGCAGACCTTTGCACACACAGATGCTCTAACATCCATACAGTATGCAAGTAAATAAATCTTAGGAGATGAGATTCAGGTGATTTCAAAGTAAACTTATGTAACATTCCTCCAAACATGAGTACAGATTCAGATTAAATTTTATATTTTTTTATTATGCAGTTTACAGAGATAATGCAAATATATTTTTCTTTTTCATACTTCATATTTTTAGAATCTTATGAAAACATTCAACTTAAATTAAATAATGTAAAACTTTTAAAGTAAATAAAAACTACATATTTTCATATTTTAATCAATAAGAGCAAAAGCGGATTATAATTTTTTTTAGCCAAAATATTTATGTTTACATATGAAGCATATAATTATATAGCAATCCTAACTGTAATATTTTAAAGGGAACACTATATAACACAAAAGAAAAATTAAACATTTCTATCTAATTAAAATTTTGGAATATATTGACTTGGCCTCAATGTCAAGCAATTTTGCGGAAAGATTATTAAATTTATTGAAACACATTACAGAAATTAAGACACATTAAATAAAATTTATCTTCATATAAAAGGTAATTTGACTATGGAATAAACTCAAAAACATTTTATAAGATATATATATCAATAAAAAAAAAAACAAGCATTAAATCAAAAAACAGAAAGGGATCAGGAAGCAAAGAGTGGGTAGAAGTCACATGCAATGAATTATGGCTGACTGAAAAGCCAATCATGCGAGGGAACAGAGGGGAAAAAAAACACGATAGTCTGTTGAGTGTGTAAGATGCAATGTGAACAAAGCATAAATCTCACTTACTAGAAAAACAATTTGGAGTATTTACTCCATATCAATATAATATCCTGAATGTGATGGCTATTGACGAGTCCTCATTTTAAAGGGTGATATTTTTATTGCTATTATCATGATTTTATTGATTTAAAATACTTTCAACACTGCATAACTGATACCACATCAACATCAGAGAAATGTGATTATGGAAGAAAGGGTTATAGATTTACAACTGTGCTATGTCAAATAAATATATAGAAAGCAATATAATGCAAATATATAAGGCTTATTTGCTTAATTCAAAGTGGACTAGTTTTGGGTTTGTGAAGGTAAAATATACTGATCATGCATGTCCATGTAGGATATATTTTTGGAAAATCCCCCAAGACAGCAACAAAGGTCTTTGATCAGTATGTTTTTATGCATGTAAAATGTATTGAAAACTGAATTTAAAAAATACATAAACTCAGTAATATCTTATTTCGTAAAAGGAAAAAACAATACTTTGAGAAAAATTCAAAGAATTTATGTTGTGTTCTTTTAAAATTTAGATAATTCAATATGAGCAGGAGTAACTCAGCTTTGAAATAAAAATCTCTTTCTTTTGGTATGTTCATGGCATGTTCATTGGCATTTATGTTTTATATAATGTTGATCATTGTATTGCATATAACAAACCAGCCTTTCAACACTGCATCACAACCATTATAAATTATTAACACAAGCGGAAGCTGAATTTGATCAGCTATAAAGTTACACATTCAGACTGTGTTCTTTTTGACAGCTGACTAGGTGAAATTAATTCACTTTTAACAATTCATTTTTAATTATTTTAGTCTTTTTCTCTCATTGTCCATTTGCTTCTACTATTAAACTACTACTGAAAGCACAAATCAAAACAAAGTCTATATATGTATCCCTTCTTGTCTAATTCTGTTTTCTGACTGTTTTCTCTTTCTAATTCAGGGCTGAATTGTTGAGTGAAACTAGTTTCCCTGACTGACCACCCCTGCCTTTATTCGAAGATTATCCAAGTTCTACTCACTGTTTCCTTTTCCTTGATCCCACTTAGCTTCAAAATTTGGACCCATACTACACTTTTTTTAGTATATGCGATACAGTATAAATATATATAATTTATAAGCAGCTGGTTTTAAAGTTCAAATTAAAATTCCCGCTTCCCCTCATCCTCAAGATTGCAACTTCCGTCATTTATTCACCTCTCTGTAAACCTGTTGGAAGAGGCATGTTAACTGAATATATTGATTTACTGTATACATTGTGTAGACCTAACTCCAAAAATTGTCATTACAATGTGTAAGAATTATGTAATGATTTTATTTCTAGCATTGCGATTCCTACAGTGTGAATGATTAAATCAGTATTGCCTTTTGTTTTATGATTTTCTGAAAATATAATTGTGCATTTACTTAAACATGTTTTTTTTCTCTTTTTTTAAATTGCAGACCAAATGTAAAAAGTTCTCCACCAGACAAAGGAGAGCAGTACTTGTAGTTGGGGAAAGTGGGCAACTGTTGGTCACATGCTGTTTAGACTTTGCAACAAACAAGACACTCCCTCAAAAAAAACATTAAGTATTATATCCATAGGCCCAATGAAATGGACTATATTCTTGAAATAAATTAGTTTTTTTTCTTATATATTTACCCTAAGTTTTTAGATGACTTTGCCTTACAACTAAAATGATATATTATAATAAAATACTTTAAGTACAAAGTAGACAAGTAATCATGTGCTTGTATATATAAAAATACAATATTCATAACAGCAGCATAGTTAAATTAATTTTTCTAATTTTTGTCACCATATTTTTCAGATGAAATTATTTTTGTCATTATAGTGGCAGGTTTGCACTATATGCACTATAGTTAGCAGGTTTGATACATCTATTTAAGGTAAGTCACAATAAATATGAACATTCAATTAAAATACATTAAAAGTAAATCTGATTAATAAAACATTGACACTTGTAAAATTACATTTTGGTTGCTCAAGTCTAAAAATATGTGTAAGATGTTGAAATCAGCAAATAGAAACTATGTTGGGAAAGTGCAGTGGACTTGATGTTATTTGAAGTCCACCACTGAAGAGCTAGGTAGGACATTCCCCAAGGAGCATGTGTACAAAGCACTCCAAAAATATCCCGCTAGAATGAGAATAGCTATTCATCAGAAAAAACATACATCACTTTAACATTACAAGAGCAATAATACTAGAAAGAAGTTAATAATTAAAATGTTGATATTTTAAAATGTTACATTTAATCAGTCATTGTCTATTTAGAAATGTTCGGTGAACATAATTCTTGTTCTGAAAAAAAAAGATTGATTCTTCCTTATACTGTATTGTCCATAAACTTGACATGAACTCACATATCATTTTTGCTAATTCATGGCTACATGTATAATTCACTTTTGTTTTCATGTATAATTCACTTGTGCAGTTAAAATAGCAGTTTTATACAAACATTATACGATGCTTTTAACGTGTGTCATTTCTAAGATATGATTCATATGATGTTGTGAGCTTATTTTTCACCTGGATATACATATGTAATACTAAAACATTATTATTATATACTCTGTTTTATATACTGCTTTTTTCCAGAAGAAAAGGTAACCAAGATTTTCATGAAACAAAATAGTTTTGCATTGTCCCAAGTTCAATTGAATTTCTGTTGGATGTGTTGAAACATGTTAACATGTAACAAGCTGAAAAAAACAGAAGATAGTTAATAAAAGAGTTATTAATATTATAACTATAATGGCAAGTATCCATTCATTCAGCTTGGAAGTTTATAATCACTTTCATATATACATCAGATTTCATTAGGGGTATTCAGCGAGCAATACACCATGTAAAATAAAAATACTGTTCTGTTTTCTTTTTTGAATAAATTGCCATTGTATTTTGTAAAAATGTGTGTGTGTTTTTTTTTTTTATCCAAAATTAAGGTTCTTTCAAATATTGTTCCAGATGCAGTTTGGATTTGACTTTGATATTTTTTACATTGTCAGCCCAGTGGTACAATGGTTCACACTATTGTCTTGCAGCTCTGGGACCGTGGTTTGAGTTTCCACTCTGGCTGTGTGTGTGTGGGGATTACATATACTCGCTGTGTCATCATGGGGCTTCCTCCGTTTTTTTCCCCTCACAGTCCAAAAACATGCCAAGGTGAATTGGAGTCACAAAACTGTGTGTAGATGTGAATGGTGTGTGTGCCCTGTGATGGGTTGGTGCCCTGTCCTGGGTTATCCCCTGTCATGTGCCCATAGCTTCCTGGATAGACTGCGGACCCCTGTGACCCTTAATAACACAAGCGGGAACAGAAAGTGGGTGAATTATTCCATTACCAGGGTAGTGTGCTACCTCAGGAGGCACAGCGCACAAAGCAAGGGGCACCTTGGATAGGAGGCCAGTCCATCACAGGGTGCCAATTCACTCACACTGTATGGGCGATAGCAGTTTACCTAACCATGTCTGGATGGAACTGAAGAAAAGTACTAAGCTCCATTATGTTTTTTTCCCCAAAAATATCTGCTTTCATAATATACAACAGACCTATGATTTTAAGCTACAAAGACAATTACTGAAGCTTAATATATTTGATTATAGATTTGCAGTTCTTATGCAACCAATCCAACCTCAACAAACCAAATAAACAGTTTGAGTCCCATTTCATGTCCAAATGTATCAAACCTCCATCTCCCACCCTATGTGTGTGTGGAATTTCATTCTCTCTTCATGTCACATAGGTTTTCACCCACAGTTGAAAGACATGCCTTGAATTAGCATTTCTAAGTCTTACTAAGTGTGTGACATTTTTTTGGGGAAAAAAAAACATAATGTCACTTAGTGCTTTGATACATCTGGACGTGAAATGCCATGACTGATTGATGACTCAAACTGATTATTGGTTTGTTGAGATTGAATTGGTTGCAATTGGTTTGACTTTATCCTCTATACCATGCATCTTAGAGTATCTGAGCCACCAAGCCATAAGGTACAATGATGGTCTAGGAATAATGAACACATGACAAAGGTGAAATATATAATATAGTTTTATCAAAACATATAAAACATTGTTTCTATAGTTTTCAACATAATGACACATTTAAAATGTACCTGATATATTTCCGATGATGGATTAAAGGAAAATACATTTTAATCCTTTTTTGTTATCCAATAACTTTGGATTTTCAGTAGCCAATAAGTCATTAAATACTTTCACAGAATTTCTTCCAACGCTGTAAAACAAATGATGATAAGCAAAAGTTTAAGAAGTATTAAAACAGCAGATAGGGTAATGCTGGCTTACATCTATTGTCATGCAATAACATCTGTTATTGTGATTACTGTTCTTGACAGCAGCCTCGGATTAGGCATTCAAAGCATACACAACTTGCATTAGCAGGCCCAAAATAGTCAACAGAAAAAGCTAAAGTTAATTATTTGGAGAGTTAATTGGTCCCTTGAATTATTCATAACAAGCTTCCCATTCCAATGCTTCCATCTGGTTTGGTCCAGCCTGTCTATTCTGTTTTTTCACTCAGTTTGTTTCTCCCTCTTCATGTGTACATCAAGACATCTGGTTTATCTACCAGAAAACCTTCATGTAGAATCTAAACATAAGTCCTGCCTGCTCGAAGTGGAGGTAAATATGATTGTATTTAATACTTAAAGCTTACTTTTCCTTATATAATAAAATGAGTTTGACATGAACTTTTGTCTGAATAGAACATTGATTTTATGAATTCATGTAAATATTGCTATTTACATAAGTTCCTAGAATCAACAGGATTAACAATAGTCTTAATTGACTTAAAAACATGTAAAGCTGATATACCCTAGACATTATGAGGAAACGTGAATTTAATGAATTGTACTACTGTTTTTCTTATTACTCATTAATTATACCAGATCAATACAATTAAAATTGATTGTCAAAAAATCTTGGAGCATAAAAAAAGCTCAACAATCATCATTATTTTTTCTAAAAATATTTTATTTTTTCGCTATAAAGACTAAAATACATTTTTCACATAATTTAAAATTGTTAATTTTCGACTTAAACTTGAAAATCAATAGTTGAAACTGTCATTGGTATATGCTACAATTTCAATTTCAGTTGATCCAGTAGTGATAATGCTAAGTCTTAACAAACCAATTTTTGTATAGATAATCCTTTGGTCTATACAAGTTATTAATAATTTTTGTTAGTCATTTGAATTGTAGAATAGTGACTGAGCATGAGTGATATATATCTTTTTAAAATTAATTTATTTGAAATATTTCAATAAATGAAACACGTTTTTTACATTTTTTAATTAATGGCACTATGGCCCAGTATATAGCACTGCTGCATGGCAGCTCCAGAGCTGGGGCTGCATCTAACTCTGTGTGTACAGTTAAAATGCTCTTATCATATCTTTGTGGGTTTCCCCCAGCTCTTAAAATAAGTCTTTAGTCAAACTGGCATTTCTAAGTTGTCCATATTGTAGTCCATAGTTTGTGTCCTGCGATGGACTGGCATGTCATCCAGGGTGTCCCCTGCCTCATGTCCTATGCTGCCTCCAGCCTCATCCTGGCCCTGTACAGGAGATATTCTTACAAACAATGGATCCATCCATTGATCAATATTTTACAACAGGAGCTTTAATTTTAAGTATCTTGCTGTAATCCTATGTAATCCTTTGTCCCATCCAATTTAAACAGAAGAAACATGCATACCGAACTGTGATTATATTAGGTCATGCAAATTAATGTGTTGTATTTATGAATTAATGTTCACATACATGTGGCTTAATTTACATGAAAATCTATGTAAATATCATACTCCATCATACCATGTCTTTTGCTATTTAAAGCAAATTAAACATTTATAATTAAATATTTGATAAAAAGGTGCTTTATTCTTGGAGTCCTCCAGAGTTTAGAATGATCGTGGTTCTTCAGTTCATGGCATTCTGTCTGGCACTTGTGTCCACCGTCTTCCTTGTTGTGGCTACTTGGACTGACTGTTGGATGGTCAATGCAGATGATGATCTAGAGGTAACTACCACAGCATTAATGATTGTTTCAATGTACTAACGCTGTTTAATTTGATTCTAAATATTCTTTTTAGTATGCTTGTAAGCTGAAAAATGTTTAATCAGTCATGACAAACTCAACAAATACAATACATAACCAACAATTTATGTATTTCAGGTCAGTCAGAAGTGCAGAGGCCTGTGGTGGGAGTGTGTGACCAATACTCAGGATGGAATCCGTACATGTGACCAGTATGAGACTATACTTGCAGAACATCCATGTAAGTCCTTAACTCTCACTTTATGATAATAATCCATGTAGTATAATGGCACATGTAATATACTTAATAATTAAGTTGATTATTAAGTAAACTACAATCAATTGACTTACTTTACTCTTTAAAAACCCAGTTAACCATAAATTATTTTCAAAGATAAAGATAAGAGACTGACCAGAGCACCCCAGATTTGATCAGATGAATGTGAATTGGTGAAGAATACTCAATATAGACAAAAGACAGAAAGCTGACCAGATATTATGTTGTTTTGGAGACTACTCTCTGCAATTTGAAGTGTTACTTTTGAAGGGGGCATAATGGGCACTAACATAGACTCAATAAGCTCAAATTCAATACAGAATGGATAGTCTGTTTCTCCCTAAGACTCTGACCAAGATAAGCAGTTGGGAGATGTATGGATGGATGGATAGATGGATGGATGGATGGATAGTTTGCTTTAGCCCAAAGGCATTTTGGCTGTTTGACCCATTGTACTTATTTTTAGTCAGAACAACATAACATTATTGATTTTCATGGTTTATTGATTTCATGTAATACTGAAAGCCCCCCCCCCCAAAAAAAAACCCCCATATGTTTCAGATATGCTGTAGGGCTATTAATACATCTTCGTGTGAGTTGCCTAGTTTTAGAGATATCGGCTGTAGAAATGTCTTCTTGAGAATATAATGAAAAAATAACAGCAATGTCTCAACAGAAATTGTGACCTGGTTACTCACAATAATCCACAGACCTTGTAATGCATAATTTAATGTAGGAACTATTTTCTTTCTACCAAATTCCAGACACCAACCTGTAACACTGTTGAATTTTTCAAATGTATTTTTTTGCACTTTAATCAACATAGAAAGAATGCCATTCAGTCCCATTATATTCATGACAAGACTGACATTTATACAGCCAATATCTCTAAAACGAGGCAACTCTCGCCAAACAATCAAGATGGATAAATAGCCATACAGCATATCTGAAACATGTTTATTGATTTTGGGGTGAACTCCTTCAAGGATGTAAAAGAACATAAAAATTCCAAAGAAATAATTTTGAATTTAAAACACATTATTTCTATTGTTATTGTTAACACAAAATTTCCACTTCTGCATTTAATTATGAATGCAAGCAACAGTGTTCTTATATCATTTAGCTTTCCCCAAATAAAAATTATACTGAATACAAAAACCGCTCTAGTGCTCCTGTGCTGTCTTATATTCACAAAGCGCAGTTTTGCGTTTTCCCTACCAGTCTTCCTTAAATGGAGAAGGAAAAGGACTTTTTAAAGACAGCCCACGCACTCACAACTCTAAATCTGACTGAAGAAAAGGTGTGGCTGACCTTCAGTATCATGGGAAAATCTATAACTTAATATGCCATCACTGCACAATCACACACAAACAAACAAACAAACACTTGTTTTTGATATTACACTAGAAAATCGTGTGTTACATACAGATGATGGTTGTGTTTTTTTTTTTTTAAAGGCTAAATTTTATAATTCTCTCCATTTACCATAATTAAATAAACAACTGATTAACAATTTAAGAAATTATGCGGATAAATAATTTTGTCCCCCAACATAATAAAAATGCTACCATTAAATCACAAAGATTACGAGGCTTATCAGTACAGGATGTACTGCAGTGCCCATCTTGTGGTCTCTTGCAGTGAAGATAGTGCTGACTCGTGCTCTGATGATCACAGCTGACATCCTTGCCAGCTTTGCACTCATAATCCTCGTGTTGGGCCTGGACGTCATAAAGCTGCTCAAGGAGGAACCGCATATCAAGCTCAGGATATGCTACTTTGCAGGTTTCATATTTGGTTTAGGAGGTAGGATGCCTGCTATACTTATAAACAGAGCAAAGACAGAAATTTCAATAGTAAGAAAAGCAAATAAATATCAGCAACAACTACAATAACAACAATTATAATAATAATATCAACAAGGTCATTATTATTATAATTAATAATATAATTATATTAATAATAGTAATAATAATAATCAACTAGTTTGGTCTTGCACTGTATCAGTTTTATAGTTTTAATTGTAAAAGTAATCGTTGGAACAAATTTGTCGAGAAGATAAGCAGAAGGTATAAGAAAATCCAGGAAAGAGAATTTTATTCATGTCATTTATTAAGGTCCTGATTCAAGCACTCCCTGATTTATAATGTGCTTTATTGGGTAAAGCAATGTTTTTACAAAATGATTGTATGCTGCCCTTAGATTGATTTCTGCATTATATTTGCCAGGTATTCCAGGAATGATTGGCTCTGTGTGGTATGCTGTGGATGTATATGTAGAGAGAGCCACACTTGTATTGAAGAATGTTTACTTAGGAATGCATTATGAGTTTGGCTGGTCCTGTTGGCTTGGAATGGCTGGCTCCACTGGATGCTTCCTGACCTCCATTGTACTAACATGTTGTCTGTACATTTTTAGAGGTAAGTAGTTCCAATTTCAGTTACATCTGTAAAAATCTATTGATTATAGCATTTTTCCAGACTTCTTTCTCTTTGAAATGTATTGTCAATTTGACTCAATATTAACATTTCAAAAGTACCACCCAATACAATAAAAGTAATTTCCTAAAAATGCATTTAAAGGATTAACAAGGTATTGTCATTTAAACCGACTGCTGCCAGAAGAGTGAGCAAAGAAATAGTAAGCTTCACAGGCATCCATATCACATGCAATTTTAATTATGAATTGAATAGAATACAATAGAAAAGAATAGCGATATTTTATTTATCCCCAATGTGGAAATGGTTTTTTTGTCTATCATCTTCCCATCTTTGAAACACACAGACATACACTCACCTAAAGGATTATTAGGAACACCTGTTCAATTTCTCATTAATGCAATTATCTAATCAACCAATCACATGGCAGTTGCTTCAAT